AATCCCAGGCATCAGCCTGGGAATCCAGCATGGGACTGATCAAGACCCCCTGAATCTGGGTGTCAGAGAGGAGGCCTAGGGAATCTATTGAGCCTTGGGCAGCAGATCAGTACCCATCCCAAGTATACACATGGACTTTGGATTCCCATAGAACAATGTGAGATGCACTCTCACCCTGAACTCTTGGGGAAGGGTCTAGGCCCTGCCCTATATGAAATGACAGACTATGGACACCCCCATGGAGGGCCTCACCCTCCCTGGGGGAATGAGGGGATAACGGGGGGGGGGGGGAGGGCACGGGAGGAGGAGAGGGAATAGGAGAGGGACCTGGAACTGACTTGTGAAGCAACCTCATTCCTTATCTAAATTTAAACTGGAAAATAAAATAAAAAAATCATGTATTGACAGAAGCAGGAAGGAAGGGAAGAACTCTATTGTGTATGCATCTTGTCTCAGGGTGCAAGGGGGGGCCCCAGGAGTAGGAAAAGCTGGTAGCCAACAGTACAGAGGACCAGTTGATCCCATAACACCTAAGCAGAGGAAGATGACATGAAAGAAGGGCTGCCTGAGGGGGATGCCCATCAACTTAGCAGAAACTGCAAGGATATGACCCAGCCTAAACCCCAGGGTGATTTCCTCTAAACTAACAAACAGACAGGACATGATGTAGATGGAATATAAACTCAGAAGCCTTTAAAGCTAAAACACACCATCTTTTTTAAAGATTTTATTCTATTTTTATTTTACTGTGTGTGTGTGTGTGTGTGTGTGTGTGTGTGTGTGTGTGTGTGTAGGGGAAAGGTATGTGTCTATGAGTGCTGGGGTCCATGAAAGCAGAGATGTCTGGTCACCTAGGGCTGGAGTTGCAGACAGCTGTGGGCACTAGGAATCAAACTCAGTTCTGGGAGAACAATAGGAGTCCTTAGCTACTGAACCATCTCCCCAAGCCCACATGTCATCAATTTTAACCCATGCTACCAAACTGGTCCCAACACTCACTGGTAGATCTTAGTGATGAGAGCTATTCTTATTGAGTTCTTTGAAAACCACACTGGATACTTTGCATATAGTAGCTTTTTGAGTCATCAAAAACATCAAAACAATGAGGAAACTGGGGTTCACGAAAGCTAGATGTCATCTTCAGAGTCGCACGCTAATTAGTGGGGTCAAAACTCAAACACTGGTTCTCCCTAGCTACAGTTCTAGTGTTGCGACACACAGGTCGTAGTGGAGATTTATGAGACTAAGTATGTAGAGGTGTGCTTACTATATGGGGCAGCAGTAGGTGGAGACAGAACCTTACCAGAAGACAGCTTTCCCACCCAAACCGGAGCTCTAGCCAGGACTGTCCCCACTGCCACCTAAGCCTTCTATCCACCAGGTACTTTCATTCCCTTTGCAATGAAATAATCCATCCTCCCATCATCTCCTGATTCTCTCTTCCTATCTGCATGCTAGCCTTCATTTCTATTATTGGGCTTTAATAGTACCCTTCTGTTTTCTATCTCTCCTTACTGTAGTATTTCTTTGCATAGAAATGCCAAGAAGGTTTCTGAACAATGTTCTTTCCTGTCCTTGTCATCCATAGCAACTGGGAAGGAAAGGTCCTGCAGTGAAAGGTTAGCTAAATACCACTGGTTCGGTTGTGACAGAGGTCTTCTTCCTCCCTCAGAGTGAAAGAGGAATTCACAATGAGAAACAGAAGTCGCTGTTTCAGGTGCATAGACATCTCTTTTTCTTACTTTTTCTGGCATCCAAATACCAACACTCAATTTTCCTGCATTAATAGTGGAATAAAAACTCCATTGAAAATAGAAAAACAATAACTTTCTATAGATAGCTTTTACATGGCAAGAAAGCAATAAGCAGTGGTGATCAGTTGTGGTGGTCAGGCTGTTCACTGCCCTAAGTTAGTCTATGTTGTAGGAAACTGGCCTTTAGGCTGTGCCTTTCCCTGGGTGACTTCATTTTATAAAGCAGAATCTGACGTCATGCAGTGCTCATAAATCACACTACCTGCCCATCACCAACCAAGAGGCGCTTAAAAGTAAATGTGTGAAATTGGCCTTTAGGCTGTGCCTTTCCCTGGGTGACTTCATTTTATAAAGCAGAATCTGACGTCATGCAGTGCACATCACCACCACCACCTTCCCAGCACCAACCAAGAGGCACTTAAAAGAAGTTACCACCTATAAACTTAATCAAAGTAGACTGGAAAAGCATGGGCACATTGGGAATATTAAAACTATATCAGAAAAACCAGGCTCAGGAACTTACTGGACATACCAAAATTCATGTGTTGAACACTTGGTCCCCAGATGCTGGTGGTATATGGGTTGATTGGATCTTAGGGTGCTACCTTCAACAATGGGTTAACCCACTGAAGAGGTCATACTGATGGGCCATTGGCTAATAAGGCTTGACTGGAGGAAACAGACCACCAAGGATGTGTCTATGGGGTTATATTATGCCCCTGGACCCCTTTTGTTCTTGTTCCTTGGTTACAAGAGGGGACCAGATCTTCTCTGTCACATGTTGTCTCATGATGTTTCTGCTTTGCCACAGGCTTAAATGCATCTGGACCAGATGACGGCAGACTTAGACTTCAGAAACTATGATCCCAAAGTAAGTGTTCCTCTTAAATAGTATGTCTTAAATAATTCTATCACTGTGTTTCAGACCCTCTCAGAAAGACATCTACGATGTGGCTATCTCAAGCTCTGAATCTTACTTCCGGACCTAACATAAATCGACTTGTATCTTGGTCTTTTCCTAGCCTCAGTTTCCACATGTTCTGAATGGAAGACACAGGGTTAGACAACATGTCAAGGTCCTACTGCTACAATAATAGGTGGCAAACAACCAAATCTCAGTCATACAATAGAAATATCAGTTGATTAACTCTGGCATTTGTATGTCAGCTAGGGACCAGCTAGCTGAGGCTTGACTTGGCTCTGCTCAGTATGTCTCCTATTCCAGAGAATAGAGAGATATTCTGGGCACTTTGTTGTCATGGCAATGACAGAGCAAAGCAGAATAGTGTCAAGGTTCCATGATAGGCTGCTGCCACCAAAAGCCTTTGACAACTGAGTTACGTGTGAACACTGAATTTGCTTCTTCATACTCTGAAGAATGGGAAGTCCGAAACCAAAGCAGTGACATGTTCAACATTTGACAAAGGCCCAGCTGCTGTTTGCAAGATGGTACCACGAACGTCACAGTCACATGGCAAAGAATGTGGCTAAAGGAAAGAACTAGAACCTTTAAAGTAATGTATAAGCAGACCTCAACTGTGACCTTAATAGGGTGGAAACTCTTTGTAAAGTACATGAGACACCTTCCATAAAGATAGGTTCAACCTTTATAGATAGAACTTGAAAAAAGCAAGTTTAGAAGAAGGGTCTTGGGGAGAGTCTGGAATGATCTCTGGCCACACAGATTGCATGAAGATCGCCAGGCAAGGACCTTCTGTGTGGAAAACAGGTTTGCATTCCTTCCTTGTAGGAACCACTCCATGTGCTTAACGTTCCAGGTTCCACTACTATCTCTGTGAGCACAAAGACCTCTGTGCCCCTATAGAGTAGGTCCTTAAAAGATATGTATTATGATTTCATCTCAAATACTCTAGTTGGGACCTAGAGTGTAATATATACTCCATTTTAAACTTTCTATAGGGCTGATACATAAAATATGCCTAATTATTTTAAATATTATAAAATGTTATTATATCACAAATCAAATTTTAGTTTTGTCCATCTCTAAAAATTAAAAGTGAGACTCTAAAACACACTTTTTAACACTGCTGAGATTATTTTCTACTATAATTTCCAGTCACATTTTTTGACTTGTCTTTTCACATTTACTGCATTTCCTGTGGGTGTTGGCACCTCCACACTCAGTCACTAATCTGACAAGGATTCAAAAGTGTCTCCAGCATTTTGATGTGCTATTTTCATTTTTCATGTTTCCCTTAACTTATGTGCCTTCCTTTTAATTACTTTCTACAAAATAATTTTGTGTTTAGAAGCAAAAAAAATTTAAAAGATCATGCAATTTAATAAGAAATCCCTATTGCAATTTATTTAATTGTCCATCTACTTAAGTGCTATTCTGACAAAAGTTAAGAGATAGCCATGGCTGAAGAGTTAGAAAGGTACTTAATCTTCAGAAAATAGCCAAGAATTCAAATGCCATATTCTGTAGGTCTTTGAAGTGTCTATCTAAATATATCTGTTTATGACCTTGAAAACATACCTAACATAACTACATGTTTGACTATTATAGGTGACTAACTATTAATCTGTTCTCAATTATACATTACATTTTTAAATGAGCTGCCTAAATACAATACCACAAACAAGAGTAGAAACACACATATAGTATAGCAAATATAACCTTGAATTTGTATCAATAAAGCAAAATCCATACCAATGTGAAATATTTGAGACTAGTAGTTTTTTTTGGTTTTGTTGTTGTTGTTTAGTTTAAAATTAAATTCAATGATCTACCTTTTTATCCTATCATTTTTATATCTGGCTATTTTCTTAGAGATCTTTGAATTTAACTTCTTTGTTTTTTACTATGACCAATAACAACTTGTAACCGACCCCCCAAAATCTGTTAAACAACCAAAATCCACTTCTACCCATTTCTTGGGAATGTGGGTATCATTTTCTATTCTACTTCCTGTTGTTTGTGGGCACTGGTAACTTTGGAGAGCCTTCAGAAAATCAGGGTAATTGTTTGGTCTTGACTTGAGTAGTTTGTGAGGTTCAACCATCTCAGCCGGTAGCCTTGAAGCTGTTCCAGATGCAGAACTTCAAGGAAACTGCAAGAGAGACATTTTGAGATTCTGGATCACCAAGGCCATTTGTTTTCATTGGTATCTGATCCTCTTGCTCTGAAAATACATAAACTTTTATAGGTAACATACATATCTGTATTAGTACAAGTATAGACTGTGTGTTGTTTTTTTTATGTTTGAGCAGGCAAAATATAGGTTATGTTTTTGTAGTTGTTTTAAGGTTTATTTCTTTTTGTCTGTAGTCAGGGTTTTCAGGAGGTCTTCCTCAATCAAACTTTATCATCTTTAAGCTGGAATGAACTCACAGCCTCTCATTTCCTGTGGAAATAAAAGCATAACCTCACTCCCAAAGCAATACATCTTTTGACTTCCATTTTTAAGTCAAGATATTTTTAAATATATAGGTTGGTTTAATCCAACAGTTTCTATAATCCAGAGTGTCTTAGCAGCTGTTGTTCCTTCATTAGCAACGAGAAAATCTAAAGGCAACACAATAACATATAGGATCCAGATTTTCTGTGTATTTCCCATCTTTATGGGGCTTTTTCTTTTATATTACTTTACTCCCTTTTTAAAGACTTTATTATTTTAAAACTATATGTATTATTTTAAAACTGTATATTCATATATACATACATATGTATATATTATGACTATCCATACCCTTTTTATTTTCTTTCCCAAGCTTTTGTACATTTTTAAACACCCTGAACCCATTCAGAAATTTTTTCCATCTGGATCTGTCTTTACTGTGCATCTGTAACCTTCTCTGTCTGCATGAGCAAAACCCCAAACCTGCCATACAGCACACGGTGGAGCTCACACTGGCAGCTCAAGATCGCAGGCACTGGTTGGGAGATACATCTCTGTACTACACCTGGCACAATACATGAGACTAGGAAGCCACATTTGACTCCATTTTTGTGTGTCTAGAAACTTTTTAAAGCTTTCAAAGGTCTTATGTGGATGTAGGTGCCAGACATTTGGGCACCACATGTAGGCAGATTTGCTGTTCCATCAGCCAGCTCCCCAGTAACCACAAGAGACGTAATATTAATTATAAATGCTCAGCCTATAGCTCAGGCATATTACTGACTAGCTCATACAACTTAAATTAACCTATTTCTATTCATCTATGTGCTGCCTCAAGACTCATTTACCTAATCTATGAACTTTCCACATTGCTTTTTCCTCATCTGCCTCATGACTCCTCTGACTCTGCCCTTCATCTTCCCAGTGTCCTTAGTCTGGCTCTCCCACCCAACCTTATCCTGTCCAGCTATTAGCCAGTCAGCTTCTTTATTGAACAAGTACAGTAGGAAGCTAGGGAGTGAGTGAATGGCTAGCTAGGTAATATGAAAAAATAGAGAGCATCAAGCATTACATTTCTGAGGCAGAAACAGTTGTTAGTAAGCAGCATTCCTAGAAAGGATACTCAGGTCTGTAGTGTGCAAGCTTGTGTCTTTCTGGCATGCCTCTAAAATTTCTATAACATTCAATACATTTCTATAACAGACTGTAAAGATCTTTTAAAAACTCAAAGTATCTTCAGTGCAACTGAATTTGTGTTCATCACTGAAGACAGTAGTCTAGAAAATGAATCTTCAACAGCTTCTGACTTGAAGAGAAGGGAACTTTCACAGAGTAGAATGTAGAGAGTACATGTAGAAGTGCCTCAATGAAAGGAATTTCAAAACTTAGCTTTTATATGTGTTAAAAAATGTGTTCCACTCTTAGAAGAGAAAGTGGGTCGTACCCTTGAACGAATTGGTACAGGAGACAGCTTCCTGAACATAACACTAGTAGCTCAGACAGTGAGATCAACAATTAATAAGTGGGACCTCCTGAAACTGAGAAGCTTCTGTAAGGCAAAGGACACAGTCAGCAACACAAAAAGGCAGCCCACAGAATGGGAAAAAAATATTCACTAACCCCACATCTGACATAGGGTTGATCTCCAAAATTTACAAAGAACTCAAGAAGCAAGTCTCCAAAACACCAAAGGATCCAATTAAAAAGTGGGCTGCAGAAATAAATAGAGAATTTTCTATAGAGGAGTCTAAAATGGCTGAGAGGCACTTGAGAAAGTGCTCAACATCCTTATCCATCTGGGAAATGCAAATCAAAACAACTCTGAGATACCATCTCACTCCTGTCAGAATGGCTAAAATCAAAAACACCAACGACAATTTATGCTGGAGAGGATGTGGTAAAAGGGGAACACTCCTCCATTGCTGGTGGGAGTGCCAACTTGTTCAGCTACTTTGGAAATCAGTATGGAGATTCCTCAGAAAAAATGGGAATAAACCTACCACAAGACCCAGCAACTCCACTCTTAGGCATATATCCAAAAGATGCCCATTCATACAACAAGGATGTCTGTTCCACTATGTTCATAGCAGCTTTATTTGTAATAGCCAGAACTTGGAAGCAACCTAGATGTCCCTCACCCGAAGAGTGGATAGAGAAAATGTGGTACATCTACACAATGGAGTACTATTCCCCAGAAAAAAACAATGGAATCCTGAGATTTGCAGGCAAATGGATGACACTAGAAGAAACCATCCTGAGTGAGGTAACCCAGTCACAAAAAGAGAAACATGGCATGTACTCCCTCATATATGGATTTTAGACATAGATCTGGGGAGTGCCAGCCTACAATCCCATGGCCAGAGAGTCTGGGAAACAGAAACTTCATTCAGTGGCTGATGGAAGAAGAGGCAGACTCCCACAGCTAAGCACTGAGCTGAACTCAAGAAAGCCAGTAACAGAGAGGGAGGACTGATGACCAAAGGGATTAAGACTGGGCTGGCTTAACCCCAGAAACAGCTGACCTGACAAGGGTTAACTCTTGAATCCCATGCTGATGCCTGCAAATCCAGCATGGGACTGATCAAGACCCCCTGAATGTGGGTGTCAGTGAGGAGGCCTAGGTAATCTATTGAGCCTTGGGCAGTAGATCAGTATTCATCCCGAGTATACACATGGACTTTGGACTCCCATCCAACAATGTGAGATGCACTCTCACCCTGAACTCTTGGGGGAGGGTCTGGGCCCTGCCCTGGATGACATGACAGACTATGGACACCCCCATGGAGGGCCTCACCCTCCCTGGGGAAATGAGGGGATAATGGGGGTTGGGGGAGGGCACGGGAGGAGGGGAGGGAAAGGGAGAGAGACCTGGAGCTGACTTGTGAAGCAACCTTGTTTCTAATCTAAATTTAAACTGAAAAATAAATAATTAAAAAAAATGTGTTCCATGAAGGCTGGAAAGATGGCTCTGTTTTTAAGAGGGCTTGCAGCTGCTCTATGAAATCTATTTCCCAGGACCACTGCTGGGCAGCTTACTGTAACTCCAAGAGCTGACATCCTGAAGCCTCATAGGACTCCAAAGGCCTGACTATGAGTCTCCATGTCTTTCTCAATTATGCCTTCTACCCAGGTGAAAGGTTTCCAGAACCATTCAGCTACTTGGAGATTCCCCTCTTTAGAGAAGGCAGACAAGATGTAGATAATAGCAGAGTATTGCTTGACAATGAATTCCTTCACAAGGAAATAGGGGGCAGAATTCTTTTAGTGAAAGTAATCATGTGGGTCTTCAAAGATAAAGAATCTCTCCATATGGGACAAGACTACAGAATAAAAAAAAAAAGATGGTATTTCTGGGTTTGAAGAAGGAAGAAGGGGCAGAAACCAACAAACATGAACAGCCTCCAGCAGTTCAAATGTTTATGTCTCGAGGGTCCAAAAGGAAAGATGTGACTGGAAAGATGATTTAGCCCAGGGAGACTAGAGGCAAAGTTCCTACTTTGTGTTCTTTTTAGACACTAGGTTTTATGGTAAATTATTGAAGCAACCACAAAAAAATCTGAGACACAATCCTCAGGTTTGGCAGTTTTACCTCCCCCCCTCCATCAAAACATGGAAAGCAAATCACAACTTCCTCCTGACGAAAAAGTTCCCAAGTCACTAGGACTCCCCTCTTTATCACTGCCCTCTCCTACCACCTTCTCACACCTCACTCACCAACTTACAGTGGTGGCTTCTATCTGCTTTGACCCCGCATTCCAGGACATATCCAGACCTGCCCACTCCTCCCCCTGTCCCTGTTTTCACCTTCCTCTAGCGAGGCTCCCTCCTTCACGTCTCTTCTGATTTTGTCCTCTTCTACTTCTACTCACAACAGTTTTCATGGTGTCACTGAGAGTAATCTCAGCAGTCTGGACACATACATACTGGGAAATGTGTTCCAGAAGTGGATGTGGTCCCTTGCATCTTCCAAGTTACATCAGTGCACTAACGTAAGTTTGGGTCTAGATAACAAATTTTGTTTCTACCAAGCCCTTCAAAAGTCACTTCTTCCTCTTAATTTATAAATGTTTACATAGTAATGGATTAAGAGGAAACATTTGAATCAGTCCAAGTATGTAAGCAATGCATTTGCAGAAGAAAATCATCTGTTCCTTCAGAAGCTGTGATACAAGACTCAGACACAGCGTTCTAAATGAAATGGATTCTTTATCATGTCTTAAAATTGAGTCTTGTGTTTGGTATTACATGGCCAGAAGTGTTGGCTAGATGATTCTGCAGTTCATAAACATGGTTAATTATACTGAAATAGGAGATGACTGCCAAACATAAGCTCTAGATTCAGTAAATTTACTAGGGAGCACCTAGAACTTTCACAAGAAACCACATGACTCCACCTTCCAGGTGGCATGTGGATATGGAAACATATTAAGTTACTTTACACTATATAATACAGAATGCTTTCGAGATGCAATAGAATATTTAGAAAGACTATAATACAGAGTTTTGTGAATATATAAATTCCACGTGTGCCTGTCTAAAGAGGTAACATATTTATAGACTGTGGTACTTCTCTCTTCCGTTCCTGTGGGTCTTTTCTGGACTGTTATACTTTAAAAGAGCCGTGACAGGTTAAGATACAGCCAGTGGTATCTTAACTCCATGTATATTATGACTGGCATGAGGTGTACTGTGTTAATAGTATTCAAAAAAACTTGAAAGAACTCTTTGCCTGGGTGGAAACATAAGAGGAATTACATGAACAGATATAGAAGTTTCTATTCCAACTTTAATCAAAACACCTGCTTTTTAAAACTGTTTCCTGTGTGAACAATTACTGCTCACTCACTTGTGGCTTTACAGATATAAATCATTTTTATTAAGAATAACAGTGATTGTTCACCTATTGCAGTAGTTTAAAAGTGGTTTCTACCTTTTTCTTGTTTTACATTAATTATATTAAAATCACACAAGCATTGTTATCATGCTTGGACTGAATCAAATGTTTCCTTGTTCTTCATTACTATGTAAACACTTGTAAGTTCCTTCCATGCTTAATATGAGTTGGGTGCTCAAGCTCAGGCTCTCAGGCTCACACAGCAAGCATCTTTTCTTGCTGAGTCATCTTGTTTGTCCCAGAAGGATCTTAAGCTGAGACTAATTCACACTTAACACTAAGAGCTTTTAACAAGTACTGAAAGTGGCATCTGGGATTGGGTCCTTGACATTTTTCAGACAAGTTGTGTGATCATAGCCATCATAAACCTGGATACTGTGGAGCTTAAAATGAGTGATGATGGACGCCATGGTCTTCCTCTTGCAGCTCCTTGTGCTGGCCCCAGAGAGCAAGCCTTCACATTCTTTCCATGGTAGCTGATTCTTTGGTATAGGTTTTACCTTTTCTTTTCTCCTTCTTCCATACACAGCAAGGCTTTCATACTGCACCCATTCTGTAGGAATAAACTCCAGACTGAAAGTGGAAATCCTTACAGGGTGAGGAATTGGGCCACAATTCCAGAATGAGTTGGGCCTCAAAAATCTGTTTTCTGGACAAACATTCTACCACAAAGCCTGTCTTATGGTTAATATCCTGTGATAAATCACCACAACCAATAGTGACTTGGAAAGGAAAGTATTGATTTCACCTTATGCTTCCAGGTAACAGTCCATCACCAAAGGAAGTCAGGACAGGAACTCAAACAGGGAAGAAACCTGGAGGCCAGAAATGAAGCAGAAGCCATGAAGGAGTGCTGCCCACTGGCTTGCTCAGCCTGCTTTCTGATGGTACCCAGGACCACCAGCCCAGGAGGAATACCACCCAGTGAGTTGGGCTCTCCTATGTCAATCATCAATCAAAAAAATTCACCACAGGCTTGCTCACAGGTCAATCTTATGGGATTGTTTTCTCAGTTGAGGTTCCCTCTTCCCAAATGACTCTAGCTCATGTCAAGTTGACATCAAACTAACCAGCACACCTCTTTAGTCGACAATCTGTTTTCTGAATGTTGAGGCCTGGAAAGAGAAATTGCAATGATATTTCTGGAGTCAACTGCCATCTCTGAAAAAAAAGAAGGAAAATGAAAAATAAAAAATTCTGAACACACCTGGGACTGGTTAAAATACTAAGTGTGAAGGGCTGGCTCTTCTTTGACATCAGTTTAACTGTAATAAGAGGGGAAAGAATTATCTCTCTATAAAGAAAAGCATCACAGGAGAGACCACTGTAACTGTGGATGGAGGTGTCTCAGTAGAATCAGGACTCTAGCATTTCTCCTTGCTTCCAGACGTCAGAGAACTGACTCCTTAAAAAGCACCCTAGAAACTTATGGTTCCTATGTCTTTTCAGATATTAACTGCTTCAAATTTAACTTTAAAAAGTTAGGAATTTGTATCTTTTGACATGTTAGGAGTCTAAAGTGAAAAGCTCAGAAATGCCCCAGACCCGTGTCTAGTGCTTAAGCCATGAATTCTAAAATGTGATTCTTCTGTGCCTGTAGGTTTTCCCATAGTAATACTAACCCCATAGTGTTGCTGAATCTTCCCTTTTGGGGACAGGGAGTTGGAATTTTACCTTGCTCGAAACAAGAGCATTTGGCACTATGTTACAGATGAATCATGGCCCTTTTGTTGTCATTTTAGCACAATATAACAGTCCACACCGTGGAGGGGGGCAGCCTTTGGATTTCTTTCTTCAACTTAGCTCCCTTGAATCATTTGTGATGGTTTTAGAGCTACATCATGAGGATGAGTGAGTAGTCAGTCTAACACATTACTCTCACTTCTTGACTAAGGATTGAGCATGCTTACAGGGTAGGAACACACAGCAAGTTCAGGTTGGGACATATTAAAGGTCAGATAGATTTTGAGGCAATAAGAAAATGTGTGAGCTGGGCAGTGGTGGTTCACGCCTTTAATCCCAGCACTCAGGAAGCAGAGGCAGGTGGGTGGATCTCTGTGAGTTCAAGACCAGCCTGGTCTACAAGAGCTAGTTCCAGGGCAGCCTCCTAAGCCACAGAGAAACCCTGTCTCAAAAAAAAAAAAAAAAAAAAAAAAAGAAAGAAAGAAAATGTGTAAATGTGATAATTTAATCTAGATTTCAAGAAAGTAGTTTTGATTTCTTTCCTGTAATCAAAATGGGAGGTTGAGGGAAATATTGAAAGATAAAATGTCCATTCAATTTCACCAAAATATTTTCAATTATTTCTTTAAAATTTTTGAGATTATAACACAATTATATCATTTCCCCCTTCTCTTTCCTCCCTCCAAAACTTCCCACAAACCCCCCCTTGTTTGGGGGGAACTATGGTCTTGGTGTCTTTAGTAGTACTACATGGCCTATTTTTAATGATGTCATTGTTGTAGTATGCCACATCCCGCATACCAGCGGGTGGGAGGACACAAAAGTCAGTGGGAGAACTTGAGCAGAGAAAATGTGACTGCTTGGCTGTGACCTGAATTCACCCACTCATTTGGAAGTACAGCCCCTCCCCCAAAGCACAAGCCTGCACACTGGGATACCAAAGCTTTCTGCCCTTCACAATGACATCACAACTCATCACCAACACCTTAGTATGCAGGCATTTCAACACTTTAGCAAATTGGAAATAACAGTAATACCTGCTGAACAGATTCTGTGAGAAGTAAAAACTAATACATGATTAACAGTAGCCACAGCACTTCCTGTTTAGCAAGCACATTAAATATTAGTGATGGCGCTGGGAGAAAGGTCACAGTGATAACTCATAACCACAATATGACACCAAAACTCTTAAGTAATCAGATACACATATTTATTTCCAAAAGTTGAATACTGAGTATATATCATCATAGTCTAAACATTAAAGTTGACCAATACATCCATATATGGCTACTACAATGTATCCATGCAACCATATTTGGATAGTCAATAACTACTCTCTGGATGGCATCAAGCAGGTAAATTAAGATATTTCATTTCTGTCTGTTGACTGAGAGCTTTTATTTAGTTGTTCTATAAAAACTTTTTTAATTATTTCAGCTTTATCATATACCACATTAATAAAATTTAGATGATTTTAGTTAGATTTATAATTTAGCTCATCATCTTATAATAGAGTATTATTATTATTAGATAATACTGATAATATGAAGCAGAGGTGAAGAGCAGAAATTTGTCATATATACACAAAACCTCCAAGCATAAAGTCGTTTATTTTAGTATCTACAATTTCTTAACAAAGATCTCAATAAATATTTTGGGAAGAACAGAAAGTGTAAAAGTAGGGTGAAATCTTCGGCTTGAAGAACAAAATACCTGTTGACAGGTTAAGCCTACTATGGATCCCACCAGAAAAAAAATCATTTCATAACCAGGACAGCTAAAAATATGCACATATGATCTGGCAAGGGCTCTTGACAGATAGTCCCTACACCAGCACTGTCCAGATGACTAGGGAAGATGTTAGATGTGCAAATTCTTAGCTTCCACCCAAGATCTCTTCAGAAGCTGGTGGTAAGCATTGTAGATGTGCAGCTAGTCCTGAAAACACCTATGTTCTGAAATTCTTTGAGGAAGAAAGCACAAAGTGAGCCCAGAGACTCATAGCAACTTGAAGTATTGAAAACATCAAAAGTCAAGCACAGGTAGAATTGGTCAAGACACAAGCGACTCTGCTCCCAGAATTGTGCATTCACCTGAGACAGTTCCCACAATTTCACCTCAGGTTCCCTGGACACATCACAGTTTCTGCTTACTGGTTGCCTAAGAAGATCTGAGAGGAATTTTGTTACAAGACAAAGTAAGGGAACTTGAATTGATTTCTTTAAGTCCTTGAAAGCAGAGAGTGCTCTATTTCTTCTTGAACTCCTTTCCCCTTTCCTGACAGTACTCAATGCTTTTTCATTGAGTGAATGGAACATGTGAGAAGGGCTTGCACAGGTGGTTTCTTGAGCAATCTGACCAGAGTGATGGAAAGATACAATTTGAGTT